TGATGTCCTCTTTTATTGGTGAAGATTCTCCGTATTTCCACGGTACAACTTTATTTGACTCGTAGGGGAAAGGACGTGGCATAAATAGTCGCACTGGTGTCCTTGCCCCCTCTTCCTTATTTCTGAGGACCAACGGTCGAGGCTTATTTCCCTCTTGTGGCGAGTCGACCGTTGGGGAAAGCTTTATTAGGAGTGACTTTCTCTCCATTCTTCTGATTTGGAAGACGTGTCAGTTAATCCTTCCTTTTTATTATCTTATTTATTAAGAATGAAGGAGGGGAAATTAAGTATGCAGATGAATGATATGCATGCAAGTAGACAATTGTGGAATAAAGAAAAATTTCATTTATCCGTTAGAAGGTGTACATTCCCCTATTCCATACTACGAAGCAAATTTTGACAAAAGCGGAAAAGCCTAAAGAAACCCACAAGCGGGTCTTGATCTCTATGTAATTCCCTTTCGGCTTCCCGGACGTGATGAGCAAGTGCTTCACTTTGCTTTTGGACCGCCTGGCTCATATCTTCACTGTACTTTTGAGCCTCTTTGATCTTCGTCTCTTGATGGACGACCAAGGCTTGCAGTTCATCGAGTTTTGCAAGGGCTCGGTCCTTTTCTTGTAGTACTTGGCCGTACTGAGCTAGCCCGTCTCTTTCTTTGCAGCGTAGCTCAGTGAAACTCTTGTTGAGTCTCCGATTGACCTCTCGCTCTTGGCATATTTCTGACCGAGTCTTGGTGAGTTCTTGCAACAACTCCTTGATCGTCTGAGCCTGTTTTGCTGATTCGGCCTTAAGGCGTGCTGACTTGGCGGTTATTTCTTGAAGTTGACTATTCGAGCTGGTTCTAGCGACTTTGGATGCTCGGATAGCTTGCTCATTAGAGTCAGCGCACTGGTCCTTGAGGCGCTCTATTTCATGATCCTTTTTCTTGCATTGTCTTTGCAGACCATCTATGGTGAGGATAGATTCTTGCTCTCTTTCTTCAAGGGCCCTCATCTGGGCTCCCATGATTTCTATCCTCTGGGTCAAGGCGTCGACTTGAGCTTGCAACTCTTCACTGTTGGCGTTTGTAATGAGTGAGGTGGATGATTGAGACATCCCTCTTCTTTTTCTCCACACCTCATAGTCACCAGAGACAGTCACTCGAGCTTTTCCTAGCTCTCTATCTCCCATAAAGACTGGTTTCTCCCATGCTTTTCTCACGGCTAGTGAGTTGGCGATTGCGCATGGGTCTCCAAAGAAACACAGTCCTCCGAGTTCCCCTCGAGAAATTGTAGTTTGAGTCCTCATGAGCTGCCTCATAGCTACTCTAGGTGAGTAGGCTATGCAACCCCTAAGTCCTATTAAGGGTACGTTCAGATAGTCTCCACATCTGATGAGGACTGGGCCGGGTCGGAACCAAGGGCAGACCCAGGATAAATTGTTGGCGTCCTTTTGTTCCAACTCGTCCCTCCACTCTGAAGTTAAGCGTCGTTGGAGAGGGATTTTGGAGAAGCTTCTCAAAGGGTCGGGGAACATCCCCATGTGGCTAGAGGTGTAAAAATGCGTAATGCCCCACACAAAGAGTAGTGAAGAGCAGCAACAAAGTGTTTTTCCTTGCTTCTGGCGGCAAAATTCCACTGAGAGCAAAGTGTCGGCAAGAATTGCAGGCAAGAGACTCTTCGAGTTCACGTCCCAGGCGAAGAAGGCGTCCATGACGGCTTGATCCACTATGTCGAGGTGGAAGGGAAATAAGATCGTTCCAAATATGATTAGGGCCAGGGTTTTGTTGAAAGCGACTCATTCTGTCCTTTCAGCCAAGTCGGACAGATGATCTTCTAACATTGAGACCTTCCAACCCTGGATGTTCCCTTTTCCTATCAGGGTAGTCTGCCGGAAAGGCAGTTGGATGATGACAGCTACTTGTGCTGCAGGAGTATATGCCCCGTGGCGGATATGGACCCCGGCTGATTTGGGCCATTTCAGCATAATTTTGTACTCCTCTAAGGTTGGCACCATGTCAAACTGCGGAAATTCGAAGCATCGCAGACTGGAGTTCCAGAAGTGAATTAATACCCTGAGGAACACTTGGTCGACACAGATCTTCAGTAGATCGAGAATCCGTCCATAGGATCTTTCAAAGTCGGAGCGGACCTCTGGTAGCATTATCGCGCAAAGCCGTTCCAGCCTCTCAGTATGGTATCAGGGAATATCCACTTTCTTCAATTGTCTACTAGTCCCCTCCATTTTCTAAAACCAAAATGCATGTTTTATGAAAAATGATGCTTATTGGATGAATGCGAGTGTTTATTTTCTGTTTATCATGTTTCGTATGATATTTGCAGGTTTTTATTGAAAATAAACTACTTATATGAATGAGTGTAATATTTTTGAACAAGGTCCCATTTATTGTTTTGGAATTGAGAAAAGAAAAGAAAATTTTATTGGATTTTTATTTTTATTTTATAGCCTTTTATCTCTTCTGTCGGACTGTGTGACTACTTAGCTTACAAAGAACCTGAAACCAGGCTAGCTAAAAGGCAGACTGTCCGAGATAAAAATATGGCTTTATGCGAAAGAACAGTTAGCGTCCCTTATCTCTTCTGTCAGACTGCGTGGCTACTTAGCTTACAAAGAACCTGAAACCAGACTAGCTAAAAGGCAAGTTTTCCGAGATAAGGGTGTTTATTGTAAAAGAATATTTTTTGTGATTTTTCTGTTGTTTTGTTTATGCTATGCAACAGACAAATGCAGCAAACGTATGCACACACAATTCGATCATCGACGAACAGGCGAGAAGTCGTTTTTAATCACGAGATAGGGTTTTCCTGCAGAAAAGTGCATTGGCAAATGTGAGTTCTAACTGTTCTCACCAAGGCTAAGGCCCCCAAGGTGCCCCCATTATAGGGTCCCCACTCTCCAGCCTTCCGACCATGCTTAGCACTAAGGCCATAGTCAGTCTTTGTACCAAAAGAGGAAGGTTATCACCTTGAGTGGTGGTTTCCGATCATACTGGTGGGCACAAGGCCATCACTACAGCGAACCGTACCTGCCACCCACTCCCTATGGATTTCTCACTTGCCCTCGGGTATAGAGGGAACTGTAGTGTGCAGGAGTTTGTGTACAATTTGTATTTCAAACTATTGCGTAAGTATAAACAGACAACAGTTATTAAAGTCAAGCAGTAAAACATGTTATAATACAAGTTAGGGTAAAAGCGTAATTTTTTTGGTTTATTTATTTTTAAGCTGGCCCATCACTAAATGGGATCAACTCTCTAGGCTTCCCCAGTGGAGTCGCCATCTGTCGCCGCCGTCAAAACGAGGCGGTCGGAGCGACGTGATGGTTCTGACTTTCCAATTTTTGCGTTTTTATTGGTGTGGTTACAACGCCTTTAGGTTGTCTGATAACCGGGCTGAACCTAGAGGCGAGGTTTTCGAAAAGGCGCTCTTGGGTTGTCCGATAACTGGGCTAACCCAAGAACTAACTTTTGAAGGGTTCTTCTAGAGTCGCCACCGATGTTTTTACCGGAAACATCAGAAAAGGAGTGAAAAGGCGTTGGTTTTCGAAAAACCAACTTTGGTCATTAGAACCAGAGTTGGGTAAGGGAGTTAATTACACGTAAAGGAAGTGTTAGTTCCTTTACGACGCCCCTTTCGGGTTCCTATGATAGGCCAACTATTTAAAAATAATAAAACCAGTGAAAATACGCTTTTACCCTTTAATTTTTGTGGAATTTAAAATTATGACTACATGACCCTAATGTCTATTGCATAATTAAAAATAAAGCGGTAAAGTAGAGAGAGAGGGAGTAGAAACCTTCGAAGCAAGCTTTCTATTAATTCTTTAAAAAATTGGGTGCTTTTTGGCAGCCCTTCGTTCTTTACAACGCCGAAATCTCTCAAAAATGCTATAAAAATCTCTAGAAAACACTCAGAAACTCCGGAAATGCTTCAGAGGGGTTCTAGAGAGAGAATTTGAAGAGATTTCTAGAGAGAAGGAGGAAGACCTCTGGGAAATGAGGGGAATGACGCCCCTATTTATAGGGATTCGCGCCTGTCAGGTCGAGACGGGCCGTCTCGTCTGACAAGGTCGAGACGGCCGTCTCGCCATTCGTGAGTGACGAGACGGCCGTCTCGCCAAACGAGACGGCGATCTCGCCATTTGCGCAAGGCGAGACGGCGGTCCCGAATCTGGGACGGCGGTCTCGACCTTAAAAGGCGAAAATCCTTATTTTTGTGCCAAAAATCCCTCCTATCCTAGTATGAGGCCTAATAGTCTCTCCTAGTGGCTTCTTAGGCTTCATCCATCTTCGAAAAGGAGGTCTTTTGGTCTTTATTTTGAGGCCGGGCAAGATTAGGGGTCTACAGAGTAAAACAAAGGAAAGGGGAAGACAAGCAAAGGCAAAGAAAGATAAACAAGTTATAACTTTTTATTTTTTCTGTTAGTTAACGTGACTACTTAACTTGCAAAGAACCTGAAACCAGGCTAGCTAAAATGATAACTGTCCGAGATAAAGTCAGTTATAACTATAAAGTTTAATATAAGATTATGAGATGTTAAATCTGACAGAGTCGGTTAAACATATCCTCATAAGCTTACATGAACATGAAAAATAAAGACAAAAAAATAAACAAGTCCATGATAAGATTATGAGATGTTGAATCTGGCAAAGTTGATTAGATATCTCTTCATAAACTTATATGAACATAAAAACTATACAAAATTTTTTAAGTCTTTAAATAATGATTGTATCTTTTAATAAATACTACTTGAAGCATCCGATGATGCCCTTACAAGAAAAATACTTCATAAGAGAAGAGAAAAAAAAAATTACTTAGATAGGGAGAGGAGACTATCTGAAATACTTCTTTTATTGATGGAGAAATAAAAATACATATATAAAAATATAAATAAATGTTATATATATATATATATATATATATATATATATATAAAATACATTTATATTTAATAAATATATTTTTATATATTTATGTGAAAAAAATATTTCATAATAGAGGTCAGGGGATTTCAATGGTGCCGCCGCCTCCGATTTCGGTGCCCTGGGGAAATCCAAAATAGAGATCATAATCCTTCTCCCACTCCCTAAATCCACACTCCTCCGCGACTTTCGGTGCCGCTGCTGCCTCGGATTTCATTGGCGCTTCCCTCTCCCACTCCGCTCGTCACCCTAAATCCACGCCGCTAGTGCCTTCTCACTTTGCGACTCACTCCGCGCACACGCTGTTCCCTCCGCGGTTGCAGAACCTTACCTCACCGCCTTGCACTCTACACAGATTAAAGATTAAGGTCCTCTCTCTATCTTGTTGGATTTGGGTTTTCATTTTGTTTTTACCATTTGAATATTCACTACCTTCGATTCTGTGTTTTCGGCGCGTGTAATTGATATCCTTGGTGATCAGTTACTAAGATTAAGCTAATAGTATTTTGATTATTGACTTTTATAGAGATGATAATACTTTCATATAATAGAAATCATGTTAAATTGGTTAAAAAAGTAGAAATTATAATTTGTAGGAAACATGCTAGGTGATTGCAGTAAACCTAATTACTTATACTAAATAAAATCTTTAACAATATATGCAAAGCTAATAGACTTATAGTTTGCATTTAATATCTTTTATCTTATCTATGCAACTATGACTTAAAATCTATAATTTTTAAGCAGGATTGGATAATGTGGTACAACTACTATAGTAGTTAATGATAATTCTTAAATAATTATTGACATTTTGTATAATTATGGAGTGGTTTTAACACAATATCCAAGGGCCAGAAGGGTTTAACACAGAAAAATTAAAATAAAGAATTATTAGTAAAGCTTCACACAAACTACAATGTTAATTAATATTAACAATTAATATTGTCAGTATTATTCTCTTGCACGAGGGAATTACGGTGGAAAAAACGAGATGAACCCGAGAACAAGTAGTCATACCTTCTGTTTGAGACAACCTTCTACTTAATTTAGTCATGCCTGTCTGGCAGTGAGTTATATTACTATTAGCTTTGAAATGCAATGTTGACGCCATTAGTTACCACAAACGAAGTTTGTTGCTCAAAGGTTTCACCCTTTCCTTTTTCTTCTACCCTTTCTTGCCTTGTTTTCACAAAGAAACCATCCATAAGAAAATTCCTTAGTTCAAAAATATTTAACAAATAAATACTATTTGTTTTGCTAAATTGTTACACATTGCCAAGCTAGAAATATTGTCTCTGAAGATTGGTAATTTTTTTATTATACGAAGAACGAAAAATACTATATACCTATTGTAAAAATATATACTTGCTAATGTACCATTGAATAAAATGTTCATATCGAACATCACAGCTTTTCAATATTATATATTTTCAACATGACTAATTAATGAATACATGTATTGAGCAAGTTAATATACCCTTTTATTTACTGTCACAGTTAATATAACTTGCAACTAACCATATGTTTGAGCAACTCTGTCAGAGACATCAGGAAAAGAAAAGGATATTTAACTTCTACAAAAGTAATTAGCAAAACCCATTACACACTTCTTAATGGCACAAACAAGATTATAATCACACAAACAAGATTATAATCAACAACAGGGGGCAGGATAGTCTTTTTCCTTTGTGAGTTGCTATTTAGTTAAAATCACAGGTAGTTAATTCAAAAATTAAACTAATCATAATTTTTTTTATATTTAACCCATTTTAAATTATATCAAAAATTGGTAATAATTCAGCATTGGAGGGGTTGAACACTTGAAAATGGAGAGATGAGATGGGTAAAACAGATCGCGTCAGATCAACCCTAGATAGACATCCACTGCGAGAGCAACTGACTATGCGTTACATGTGCTCCACAGGCCGCACTCCATCTTTCTTCCCCAACGATCCCTTTTTGTTTTGTATTTGGAAGACGGGCGTTGCGTTCAGTTTGAAAGGCATGGTTTTCAGTATGTCTCCGGATATGGCCCCCCTCTAGTTCAGTTTGAAAGGCATTATTTAACCCATTTTAAATTATATCAAAAATTGGTAATAATTCAGCATTGGAGGGGTTGAATACTTGAAAATGGAGAGATGAGATGGGTAAAACAGATCGCGTCAGATCAACCCTAGATAGACATCCACTGCGTGAGCAACTGACTATGCGTTACATGTGCTCCACAGGCCGCACTCCATCTTTCTTCCCCAACGATCCCTTTTTGTTTTGTATTTGGAAGACGGGCGTTGCGTTCAGTTTGAAAGGCATGGTTTTCAGTATGTCTCCGGATATAGCCCCCCTCTAGTCCGGCTAGATATTGAGTGGTTCTTTCGTATAATTTACCCGTTTCCAACTTATTTTACTTGTATGCTTTGTTTCTGACTCGGATGCCCTTAGACTGTTCAACTGACCTTCATTTTTCCAAAAATATTAGTTTCTGGTCTTTCGTCCTTTTCAAGCAACTAATTTTGATGACAACACTGTAAAAAAGCAACTTGCCGAGTTGAAGTTGTGCCTACATTGGTGGTTGTAGCCTTAGGCATTATGGACAATGCAGCATTTTGCAGTTTTCTTCAGGTTCTCCCCCCTGTTCAATTTGCCTGTGTCTATGGGTCATCTCTTCATCCATCCAACCACGACAAGGTCTTCTTTTGTTAAACCCATATTTTTTTTGCTTATTGATCCTCTTCTTTATTATGGGCCTCGTTTTTTACTCTCCCTTTAATTGTTGTTTTAATATTTATTCTCTGTTATGTGTTTTTGGGTTTCTAGACTACCATGACAGATTATATTCTTGGTGTGTCTGACCCCAAGCAGTGGCATTCTGAGGTATTGATATGTGATGATGATCGATGACGGTATTTGTGTTATGAGTTGCATAATATTGTTTGATTGCCCTACTGATATATCTTTTGTTTTTCCTTTTATTCTTCTTGTGATGGCATCATCCAAGAATCTGAAATTGAACAAGCATCACTATGCATCCTGGATGGTGCACCTTGGTGGGGAGAGGCTGGTACTTGCTCAAATTTTGCTTTATTTTCCTTTTGTTTTTGGTCTCTTGTATTTGGCTTGAATTAGATCACGATCTTATGTCATGATTTATCTTGATGTGACATATAAGATTACAGGAGTTGCAGATAAAATTGGCGTTGGAGTACATTTCAACCCTTTTGTTAGTTGGAATGGAAAGGTATCAGTAGCCTCTTATCATGACTCTGTAATGTGTGATTAAGACCTTTAGTTTCAGTTCCAGCAAACTCACCTTCTAGAGAAATTATTTCAGAATGCTAGGATATTTTTAGGTGTCCTTAACATATTCTTTGGCTTATTTGTTAAATCAAAATTACTTTTTCCACATATTCCTTGTCCTTATAAGCAAACTTATGCAGCTCTTCAAGTATGGGGTTGTTCGAATGCATGACTTGCTTCAAGATGTACAATATTGGGAGAAATTCTACTTGTGTGGCCGATTACAGAAACCAGTATGTTATACGCATTTTATCCTTGTCATGTCTAGAATTGTTTGATGCTTGAAGTTCCTTGTGCTCTAAGCTAATTTGTTTATAAGATTCTTAATTTTCTTATATGAGATATTCTCTGAATATGAGAACTATAGATATTTTATACCACAATTCATGTAACAATGCTCCAGTGATAGTTTCAGATATCTATCTCATAGTTTGCCTATTCCTCAATTTACTTGGTAACATGAAGCCATGATTGAGGCATGTTTTGGTCCCTATGTTTTTTTATGTGTTTCATTCAGGTTCATATAGTTGTTGATAATTTAGGCGTTAACAGCATCAATTCTGTTAACTTGAGAGCTGCAGTGTCAGCTGCTCTCCTCCTGCTTCCACCAGAATTCACAGAGGTATACTTCTTGCTTATGAAATTATTTATTTTAATAGTTGGAACAACTAAATTGATTTAACCATCCAATTGTAGGCAGACCTCTATGCCAAAGTATGTAGTCTCTCGTACACAGGTGATGTACGCATGTTATTTGCTGAGGATAAAAACAAGGTATTCCCTGGGTGCTATTTGAGTAGTATGATGAAAATGTTAATGTCTTTTAATTTCACATATAATTAAATTCTCCATGATTGCTTGATGATATCATCCATATGTGGAGCTTGTTTCGATAGAGGTTATATGTCAGTTTGGTCAGAAATTCTAGCTCATGCTTTAGACATTGTTGGCTTTCTGAATTATGAGTTATCTGTTTGTTGTTTTTTTTCCTTGTTTCTTATAGTGAAAATATGAAACATGGGATATTATTGCGTTATTTTTTTACTGAGGTTCCTTTTGTTCTCAATATGTCCAGGCGAAGAAGATTGTTTCTGGCCAGTTTGATCTATTCCATTCGATGTATAAGCCATTTCTTGAAGAGTACGAGGCTAAGAAGTTATTGAGACTTTCATCAACTGCCAATAATCAAATACATGTCTCTCAGGTCTTTATTATTTGGTATTATTTTTGGGAGGATTAAAATTTTGGATATCATCACCTATGTATTCCCAATTTAGGATGATGACCTAAATACATTTAAAAAATCTGATGCACTCATCATCATTTTTATGGTTCATTTGTTGTTCGAGGAATAAGTACTAACCATGGATCCTGAATGGTAGTTGAGCCCATTGTTTTACCATGCATTTGAAGGATTTTAGCCTTGTAGTGCTATAAACTCTTTGTCAAAGTATTACCTCTTGAAAATTAAATATTACAAACAAACTTGTATTGATTCTTTACTATTTTATTGCCTTCAACCGGGAAGCCAGCCACATCCCTTTAAATTTTTATCACAAAAAAGATAAACTTTTATTACAAAAAAGTAAGACATGTATCCTGTAATGCATGAACATGTGATTCCTTCTGCTTATGTCTATCTTGTATCACGAGGATGCATTTGTTCTTTTTTTTTCTTTTGTGTTCTGTAGTTTCTGTTAAGGAGAAATATAAACAATCTTTTACAGTTATTTTGTACCTTTCATCTTTTTCTCACATTCTAATTTTAACCTTTGGGTGATTTTTAATTGAAGACATTCTTGAGGTTTATAAACAGTGTATCTTTTCTTTCTGTTGTAGAAAATTATTAATTTATGTATATTTCAGCACATTTATTGATAAGGTATGACGCAGCAAGTCATGCACTAATACTAATTAATGGAAAAGATTCTTTCCAATGTTTTAGTGCATAGAAAATTCATTAGTCAAAATATCTTGCAAAAGCTGGCAAGTTATATATGAATTGAATATTTGAAGTTTACATACCAAGTAAAGAAACTTCCTCACTCTTCTATTCTAAAACAGGGTTGTGACTTATCCGTTCAGTATTCTCTAGTTTCTGCTCTTCCTCCATCAATCAGAAGCCAGATCAGCATGAAGGAAGTAGAGAAAACAAAATTATGGGAAACTGGTATGCTTATGACATTGTTAGATGTATTTCTGAATTATTGCTTTAGTTCTTAACTGCTAATATTGTTGAGGTCCAAATCACAGAAAGGGGGAGGGCTCAACTAGATAACTTCTGAATAGTGATGTTTGTCAAATTGTGAAAGAAGGGTATTATGATTTCAGGTGGACCCATACATCATCCTCGTAACAGCATAAGAGAAGAAGCTACAAATTGCTTACAGAGTATTCTGAGGCGGAGAGTAATGGTTTCAAGTGCAAGGCAGGCTGTATCTGGTCTTCTGGCTGTTGGTGCAGTAAATTCTAGCAGGTATCTGGCTAAGAAAGTTAGCAAAGCCTGGAAATCATGGAGATGATTTGTGCTGTATTCACAACCATAGAGATAAGGTTTTCTTGCTCACCTTGGAAAGTTTACATATAGACTAGTGGCCATTTTCTGTTTTCATTTCCTCCATCCTATTTCCATTTCTCGGAGGTAACCTTGCCCCTTGATTCTCTTGTGACCAGAGATAATTGCCAACAAGTGTAGGCAGGGTATTTGATTTGTCAATACATTTTGTAGTGAAATTTACCTGTGCTTTGTTCAGCAAATGGAACTTTGTTTTGGAACACCAAGTCTGAATTCTGTCTACACACTTTTTATATCTTTGGCATTTTGTTCATTAATTTTGTGTTTTGTAGGAGTTTTAATTATTGAAGGCATGAAATACAATTTATGTCCAGCTACTACTTGCAGCATATCTTTCTGGTTTGTTGAAAGAAAAGGACTGATCCACTAGCCAACTATTATGAGTTCCCCCATCTCTGTTTCTTATGCTATATATATAATAGAAGGAATGGGATTAGAAAATTACCAAGCGATGATGACATTTAGCATCTTGGGCATTTGTAACCTTCACCTCCGATAAAGACTGGAATTATGGTAATTATTGAAGATATTTATAATTGAACAATTCTCCTGGCACAAAAATAACTTATGCAGTAAAAACTAAAATGCAATAGATTCATGGCTGAAACTCCACATCTTTATATTAGCATAAGCTATTATAATTTATTAGTGTTTTGGTTATATTAGCATAGCATAACCTATAAGTTTTCTTTTCATATCTGAGCCTTTTTCGGTAATCTATATTATTATATATTATATTAAAAATTAACACAGGCAGATTGGGAGCCAAGATTCTGAAAACTTAACCATGGCAAACTAGACTACACAACAATAGACCTTATTCCCCACCAGCTTCATGTAAAAGCCAATAATGACATGTCATTAAAGTCTCCCCCGCTGAAGCACCACAGCATCCATTGACAGGGACGTATCAATTTGCATAAGAGGAATAATCTGAATCATTCGCTTTCAGTGAAATGAAACGAAAATACAAAAACAATGGCAAAGGAAGTTGCCAAAGTCCACTCAATACCCATCCCAGTAAAATTTTTAGGTCTTCTATCATATACCTTAGCAAATCTGTTGGGCCCATTCACAATTGTATAGCCCATGTTGGGCCCATTCACATGAAACACTGGATCTGTTCTCCTGTGTCTTTAGGCAATTTTGATCTATACGTTGTGGCTCCTATCCTTTCTAGCACCTCAAATGGTCCATAATATCTTGAATTGGAGTTTTTGATTGATCCTCTTAGCTAATTGTTTCAGCTTAGATGGTTGTATCTTCAAGAAAACTTACTCCCCAACTTAAAATTCTACTTCTCTACTATGCTGGTCTGCTAGCTGTCTCATTCTGTTTTGTGCCTGAACCAAATTTTCCTTGATTTCTTCTAAACATATGTTTGGGAAATCAAATAGTATTTTAGGAAAGAATAAATCAGGAAATTTGTATATTTCCTTGTAATCTGTACAGATTTGAATAATTAGAAATAATCTCATAAATCAAGGGATCCTAGCATAAAATAGAGTTATTATATTTCCTAAAATAGCTTAGGTCTCCTGTATATATCTTATATCATCTCTTTGTATTGATATAATAAAAAATCATATTTCAGTTAATTTATTTTTCAAAATGGTATCAGAGCCAAAGCCTAACATCTTTCCGGTTATTGTCATGGGTCAAAAGTTGCCCTTTAGTTGGGTCAAAAGTACCCTTTGTCTGGTCCGACAGGCTTCGTTGGAGGAGGTGTGTTGAAAGTCCCACATCGCCTACCTCATGTCATTTGGTATGGTTTAAATACATGTTAGGCTACTCCACATATAGCCAATTGGTTTTATGTTGGAACCTTAACATGGTATCAGAGCTTCCGATCTAAGAAGCTATGTCTACGCACGATAAATCCTAAGACGACAGCCTACATTGCTGCTGCATATTTCTTAACCCTAAGACGGCAGCCTACATTACTGCTGCATATTTCTTAACCCTAAGACGGCAGCCTGTATTGCTGCTGCATTTTTCTTAACCCTAAGACGGCAGCCTACATTGCTGCTGCATTTTTCTTAACCCTAAGACGGCAGCCTGCATTGTTGCTGCATATTTCTTAACCCTAAGACGGCAGCTTGCATTGCTGCTGCATTTTTCTTAACCCTAAGACGGCAGCCTACATTGCTACTGCATTTTTCTTAACCCTAAGACGGCAGCCTACATTGCTGCTGCATTTTTCTTAACCCTAAGACGACAGCCTATATTGCTGCTGCATATTTCTTAACCCTAAGACAGCAGCCTGCATTGCTGCTGGATTTTTCTTAACCCTAAGACGGCAACCTGCATTGCTTCTCCATTTTTCTTAACCATAAGACGACAGCCTGCATTGTTGTTGCATCACACCTCCTTTTGCTATGATGTCAAGGGAAGAGGAAGTTGTGAATCCAAACCCAGAAATAGGGAATACCCAATCCTAGCAATCTGGAGGACTGTAGAATATTCATTCTGCATAGACTAAATGGAAGAAATTATTTGAAGTGGGCCCAACTTGTTCGTACAGTGTTGAAGGGAAAGGGGAAGTTGAGTCACCTGATGGAGTCTGGACCTAAACAGGAGGATCCCAAGTTTACTACATGGGATGAAGAAGATTCAATGATCATGGCGTGGTCGTGGAATTCAATGATTCCGAAATCGAGCAACACCCGCATGTTCCTTAATTCGGCAAAAGATATTTGGGATGTCTGTAGAGCAAACCTACTCTAAAGCCAAAGATGCTTGCTCAAGTATATGAAGTAAAGGTGAAAACTTTGGCAGCAAAACAAGGGAACAAGACTGTTACGAGAATATGCCAATCACTGAAATCATTGTGGATGGAGCTAGACCATTATAGAGTCATAAAAGCCAAATGTACTGAAGATTCAACACTTCTCAAGGAGTATATCGAACAAGACAAAGTTTATGATTTCCTTGTTGGTTTGAATCCTGAATTTGATCAAGTTAGGATTCAAATATTGGGGAAGCAAAAGGTACCATGCCTCAATGAAGTGGTGGCTATTGTGAGAAGTGAAGAAAGTAGAAGGGGTCTCATGTTAGAGAGTCCAGCAGTAGAGAACTCAGCACTGGACCATAAAGGAGATCAGACTTTGGCCATGGTAACCGAACAGAAGAAAGGAGGATCAGCAAATGTGGAGAAGAAAGGTGATGGTCTCTAGTGTACCTACTGCAATAAACCTCGTCATACCCGAGAGAAGTGTTGGAAGTTACATGGGAAGCCTTTAAATCGAGATCGAGAAGGGGGACACAAAGGAGGCTCCTCAAGGAAAGGAGGACAAGTTTATGTTATGGGAGTTGCTATGGCTTAAAATCATCTTAGAAGACTTGAGGATAAAATGGGAAGAACCTATGAAGTTCTATTGTGATAATAAGTCAGCAATCAGTATAGCCCACAACCCAGTGCAACATGATAGAACAAAGCATATTGAAGTAGACAGACACTTCATCAAAGAAAAGCTTGATAGTGGCTTGATATGCACTCCATATGTGTCCTCTCAAGACCAAATTGCAAACATTCTTACCAAGGGACTGGGCTGTCACAATTTTGAGAAGATTGTATCCAAGCTGGGAATGGAAAACATCTATTCACCAGCTTGAGGGGAAGTGTGGGAAATCAAATAGTATTTTAGGAAAGAATAAATCAGGAAATTTGTATATTTTCTTGTAATCTGTACAAATTTGAAAAATTAGGAACAATCCCATAAATCAAGGGATCCTAGCATAAAATAGAGTTATTATATTTCCTAAAATAGCTTAGGTCTCCTGTATATATCTTATATCATCTCTTTGTATTGATATAATAAAAAATCATATTTCAGTTAATCTATTTTTCAAGAATATGATTCCTTTCTGGTGTCAACAGCTAGACTTCATCTACAACAGTCAACCCTATATCTCTCGTCATCACCACAGGAGCCTTTCTTCCATATAAAGTCTCAAAAGAAGTCATCTTAATAGAGGAATGGTAATTAGAATAATACCAAAATTCAGCCCAACTTAACGATTTAGGCCACTACTTCAGTTTGTTTCCAATCATATACCTCAAGTAAGTTTCTAAACATCTACCACTTCACTTTGGCCATCCATTTGGGGATGGTAAGCAGAACAATACTTCAATTTAGTTCCTACTAGTTTGAAAAGTTCACTCCAAAATGAGCTGATGAATCCCCAATCCCTATCAGAGACAATGGATTGAGGAAATCCATGTAACTTCACTACCTCTCTCATAAATAATACTACCACATCCTTGGCAATGTAAGGCTGAGCAAGGGCAAAGAAATGGGAATACATAGTGAGTCTATCAACCACCACTAAGATGAAATCCATGGAAATGTCACTCCAAACTTGAGTTGGAATTGAAAGTGGTTGCAATAACCATCCATGAGTTAGAGCTTGATATTTATTCCTCCGGCACACAGTACACACCTGAACATATTGCTGAATTCTTCTTCTCATCCCTTCCCATCAAAATCATAACCCATCAACTTAGAATACCATTTCTGCTACTCTTCCCCCATCAATCGCTAGTCTCTTGAGTAACCTAAGACTTTTTTGGTTACTGTGGACTATGAAATATCTTCCCAACAAGTAGTGTCTCCATTTTTGGATATATAAGACAACATCCATTAATTCTGTCATATACGGACTTGCTCTGGGCTTGGGTAGACAATGTTTGGCTCATGTAAGCCACTGGCTTCCCCACCTGCATCAACACTGCTCCAATTCCCTTGCTGAAAGCTTCAGTTTCTAAAACGAAAGTCTTTTCAAAATTAGGAACAACAAGTACAGGTAATGTAGTCGCAACTTTTTTGAGCAATTCAAATGGTTCTTAAGCCTTTGGTCCCTGTTGAAAGTCCCACATCGCCTACCTCATATTATTTGGTATGGTTTAAATACATGTTAGGCTATTCCACATATTGCCAATTGGTTTTATGTTGGAACCTTAACATGGTATCAGAGCCAAAGCCTAACATCTTTCCGGTTATTGTCATGGGCCAAAAGTTGCCCTTTAGTTGGGTCAAAAGTACCCTTTGCCTGGTCCGGCAGGCTTCGTTGGAGGGGGTGTGTTGAAAGTCCCACATCGCCTACCTCATATCATTTGGTATGGTTTAAATACATGTTAGGCTATTCCACATATTGCCAATTGGTTTTATGTTGGAACCTTAACAGTCCCCAACTGAAATTATCTTTCTTTATTTGCTGAGTCAAAGGCCAAGCCATCTTCCCATAGTATTTTACAAATATCCTACAATAACCAGTAATCCCTAAGAAACCTCTTAACCCTTTTATGTCTTTATGAGTTGGCCAATTCACCATTGCAGTTATTTTATTTGGATCAGCAGCGACCCCTTCCTTAGAAATAACATGGCCTAAATATTCTATCTTGGCTTGAGCGAAAGGACATATCTTTTGGTTAGCTACTCACTTATTCTCTCTTAGAATTTCAAGGATAATTTCTAAATGCTTCAAGTGAGTCTCCATATCTTAACTGGATACAAGTATATCATCAAAAAACACTAATACAACCGCCTTGGATAAGGTTTCAAAATATGGTTCATCAGGGCTTGGAAAGTGTTTGGGCCATCGGTTAGCCAAAAAGTCATAACCAAATATTCACAATGTCCTTCATGCGTTCAAAAGTTGTCTTGGGTATGTCTTCCTCTCCCATTCTAATTTGGTGATATCCAGATTTCTAATCCAACTTTGAAAACAGTATTGCAACGCTTAACTGATCTAATAACTCATCAATGATGGGGAAAGGAAATTTAATCGGAATTGTGTTTGTTCAAAGCCATATAATCTACACAAAATCTTCACCCTCCATCATTTTTTTTCACCAAAATGGCAGGACTAGAAAAAGGACTTACACTTGGTATAATAATTCCAAATTGTCAATGGGGCGTAACATGTAATTTGACTAATGAATTTCTTTTTTCTAATTTCAATGTAAGGTCTTCATTTCTATATGTTTACCCTGTTTATAGCAAACTTGACCCATGTGAACATATTTATGTCTTTGTAGCTACTAAGTTGTGGGAAAGAAGCAATCAATTCCATCCAAAGCTCAGTTGCAGTTACATTGTTTCAGAGAGAAAAGATGCTGCCAAGGGCATTATTGGCCAAATTCATTCAAAAATCCTCCACTGTTTCTCCTTTTCAATTCAATCAGCAGGCATATTACTGTGTTTTTTTCTGTACTATTGTCTTGTTTCAACATCTATTCTTATCTCAAGGATTTGGAAATTTTGCAGAGAGCATTGCATAGCAGGAATAAGAAAGCATTGGAGTTCATTGCTAAAGGCTGGAATGCTTTGAAGGAGGTTGATAGAGTTATAGATTATTGTGAGATCAATGATAAGCGCCTCATTCCTTTTCTTAGGGTAATGAATGCTTTACCAACCTATTGCTATTTGCTTCTTATTTGAGATTTCATGCAAGAGAAATGGAAAACTTACTTTGAGGTTCAATATTAGACAGCTAAGGAGAATTTTGAGCTTGCTTTGGAAGCTGATAACAAAAATACCCATGCTAGGTATTGGTTGTCCACATTGCATGTGAAATACCATGTTCCTGGAGCTAATAAAGCTGTGTAAGTGAATTCTTTCTCCTAATTATGTCTTTTTTCTTCCTGCTCTTGATATACTCCATGAATAACTACAGAATTACTATGCCACACAATTCTATTTCTATTATTTATTTTAAATTAACATGAAAATCACAGCATGGAGCTTATGATTCCCTACAAAATTGTTCAAGCCAAGCTACTTTTGGTGTGAATTAGCTAGGGTACCAATCCACCAGGGCCTTGTATACATTAGGCTTGGAAAGGAATGGCTCAATACATTATAAATCTCATTTTGTGTAGTATGATGAAGTAGCTTTTAAAAAAATTTCTGTTGATTTTTTCCTTTTTGTCATCAATGGTGAATGACCTTTATGTCACTTTTGAGATTTTATTATTTGCTGTTCTTTTTATCATTTTTTAAATAGTTTCTGTTGACTGTAGTGTACCTATCCACTGACCAATGGTGACTATTTTGAGTTGTGTTATTGAAGTCACATAAAAGATACTCCAAATTATATTTACCACGAATTCATGACCATATTTGCTCTTTCCCTCATGCAAACAGAGGGGAAGCATTATTGGTAGAAACAGCAGAAATGGGTGATCCTGATGCACAGTATGCGTTGGGTTGTCATTTAAGAGTTGAGGTGAGGCACTCTTAACCCGTATATTATGATGACATCATTTAAGTGCATATATAGCCAACTATGAGTTTATGACTGTAATCATTTGTTAATCCTTCCTTGAGTCACTCAACGACTATCTTACTATTTGCAGAGTTATGATTTGGATTTTGTTCGGTTATTAACTGAGATATCTTGTTACCTTGGGGTGAGCAATGATAGGCTAAAGTGCAGAAAAAATGGCCTGACAGCGATAGAATGTATCCATAATGGTGAATTACTTGCAGTTTCTTGTTTCTTTACTTGCCTGATTATGAAGCATCTCTACTTAAATTTACGTCACGGATTTGATATTGATGGTCTTGGATCTAAGTCTTTAAAAAATGTCATGAAAATCCAATATAGCTACGTATGAGACAAGATCATGTACAATATAGAAACATAAATGTTTATAGAAAGGAATGAGATTGATGCTATTCCTATTTGTGTAGTAAGTGATTTATGATGATAATGATTTATAATTTTTGTTTTGGTTTGAGTAATGTTGAAGAAGTATTTCTTATTTTGGGTTTAACGAATTGAAATTATATATTTCTTATAAATACCTAAATATATAATCATCTTAAATGTATAGTACTCTATTTTTAGAATAGTTGTATGTCATATGAAATATATATAATGAATAGTGTTTATGCATAATTTGTTGTTTGATTTGATTGTATTTGATTTCTACGAAGGACAGTAGGAAATTTATGCTATGTAATCTTCTTCTCAGTTTTATGATTTTTTCCATATTTACCTTTTTGGATACATTGGGAAGTATGAAGATCCAGAGAATTTTTTAGTTAGTTTGTTTGTTTTACTAAATTATTCTTTTAAAAAAAATAATTTTGGCGACAGAATGATTATGTCCACTCTGATCAACAAGCTTTTTATTATTTGGAGAAAGCTGTGGACCAGGTACGTGACCGTATGGAAGGTGTTTTCTTACCTTGATTTCAGAAAGTTCATCTAAACCTTACTTGGACTATGTTATGTTCTAGTAGCATCCAGGTGCCCTATACCTTTTGGGCGCTGTATATTTGACAGGTGACTGTGTCAAGAAAGATGTTGCTTCGGCATTGTGGAGTTTTCCACAGAGCATCTGAGAAGGTAATACGAAATAAAATATACCAATTAATCAGATTTAAGTCACTGGTTTTCTATTAAATACTTGTATATGGTTCTGCATTTTTTCTTGCTGTAGTTTTCTTTATGCTCTTTTCTCATCTGTTTGGTCAATTAGACTTTGAGTTCAACATATATTGGAATTCGAATATCATTTTGGTCCTATGCTGGGATAGATCCTCTCATATAAAAGATGGCCAATGTGATTTGGTCAGGTGAATACTTATAAAAACCCAAATACGGACAGCAGATAAGATTAAGAATAGCCACATCACTAAAAGAGGAGGCTGAGAAGAAACTATAGGCAATGGACATATGACAACTTTGCGGCGTTGTTTGATCCATATAGCCAACTCCATCTATTGGGAAAATACTTAGTTGCTACATGAATGATGGGGGGAATGGGAACATTTTGATGAATTCATAACTTTATTGTGTCCCTCTTAATCCACAAGAGTTCAACATAAATCGGTTTATTGCCTTTATGCCATTTGCACTTGTATTCAAGATAAATATTTAGCTGCTTCAAGAGTTTGCTTAGGTTTTGATTGTACTCTTAAACATTTAGGGATATCATATGGATCTCTTCTTCTTAAAGGTAAGCTGTCATTCTCCACTTCCTTTCACCCAATTATGTGGTATTCATTGTTACAGACGACCTTATAGTCGTAGTAAGTTGATTGGCAATTATAGGCACTGCGGAATTTCTTTTAGTGCGTTGGATACAACTACTGATATGTGGGTGGGGTACGGGTGTAGAAAAACAACACACCATTCTTAATTGATCTACATACCCAACTAACTTCTTGTTTGGGAGAATCGATCAAAAACAACGAGGAGAAAAGAGTAGAAAATAATTAAATATATATGACTTTCAATATTTATTTCTCATCTATTTTTATTTATTTTTCTATCTTTATCTTTATCTTCTATCAAACAAATCATATTACATAATTTTTAAAAGATATTCTCTTTATTTTCTCACTTATTTTTTGTCGTTTCTAATGACTAAACTTTCAATTTAAACTTTTTAATGGGATTCTAGTATGGGCAAGTAAAGTAAATCTCCCACCGTGGGACAATGACTTGCGCCTTTAAATATTCATGTACTCACTCATTCAATGGTTCACACTGACCAAATGACATACGACATGCTTACACTGATTAAAATAAATAATTAAAATACACTCCACTGTAAATCAACAACTCTACGCTGTAGTAAGGTATATCTCTGTTGTTAGGGGAGTCGAAGGCAACCACTGTTTTTTATTTTTTACCTATTTTTCTTTCCTTTTTATTTCTCATACAGCACCAAACAAGGCATAAGAGATTATTCACCGCAACATATCTGAAGTGACAACTAACTGTGATTGCCCTTAACTCCTTTGTGCCATGTCTGGTTTTGAAGAGAGGAATTGAGATAATGAAAATAAAGAATAAATAAGACCAAAAAAATTGAATATTCAGGTGTATGACTTGTGAAAACAAAGGGAGAAATAAAGAATTTTTTTGTAAGTAGTGTAATTTAATAGACAGATAAACTATTTGATAGTATAATACCATTAATTCTTATCTTTTTTTATACTGTACATAGGAAAACTTACATTTTTTTTTTATTCTTTTTCATCTTCTCCACCAAACTTAATTTCTCTATTATTCATCTTCATTCATTATCCCGTCAAACATGGCATGAGTGTTGATTTTATAATGTAAAGCACCCGCAGAACATGTAGAATGTCTATATAGATGTATCTAGTCAAAAAGTGATTTTTATGTGAAAGTAAGGAAAAACATAGGTTGTTGATATGCAAGTAACGTCAAATATTTTATAGAAAATTGAAAGGTTGGAACAATGTCACAGATAAGAATGATCGGGCCGAAAATAATTGATTGTTTCCTCTGAGTATGCCTGCTTCCGTGAAGAAGAAGAAGAAGAAGATAAGTATTAATAAAAGGATCGGACATCTGACATTATTCAGGAGTCATAATATTGTAATTGACGAGGAAAATCAAAATAATGAAGAAGCTGGAACCAGGTACTCATCACGCCAAACCCAGCAATTAAAGCACTAAATATTGAATGGGCGCACCCCCCTCAAGAATTCCAAAAATTTAGGATACCAAGAGAAAAGGGTAAAGTTGAAAACAAAATAATTAATGTCTTAATGTGTTGTGTGAATTGACGATAAATTAAATAAAATTTTCTATCAATATGTTTGCATTTTGATCTGCCACACTTTGGAAGCAAGGAAGATTTAGGTATTCATATTACTTTCTTTATGGTGGCAAAAGTTAACACAATAAGCTGGCCTTGGATGCTAGCTTCAATATATTCTGGCTGGATATGGTTGCTTGTATTGCACACAGCTCTGCATTGTCTTTTATTGTGTTTGGTACTAACAAAAGAAAATAGTATGCCTCAGGTGTTGAGGTTCCAGAATTGTTAATAAAGTTCAGTTTGAAGAGAGGTGCAGTAGCTCATAGACGAGGGAGGAGTAAGGGAAGTCTTGCAATTGACCCAGTAGAGATGGCAAGAGAAAAGTTTCACATAGCGGCAAAAGCAGGGTGTGAGCTTGGATTCAAATGGCTTGCAAGGTTAGAGGAGGAAGAGAAACGGGAAATCACGGAAGGACATTGAGATGAAATTGACACGTGCTGTGTTTTTTTTTGTAGCAGAATACTATGAATTATATCATTTACCTTCTCTGTTATAAATTTTAATCATTGATTACAAAAAATAATAAAGCCGTTATTTAATGTGTAGTTTTTATGGGGAATAATGTTTAATCTTTGCATCAAGAGTTACACATTATCTGTGCTGGCAGGGTTATGTTTCTGAGGATATTATTTTAATAGAATTGGAATTGATCGTGAAAGCACTGGGTCCATTTTGTAAACCGAGGACAGACTTTATCACCACTGGATCAAAAGCCTTATTTATGAGTGTGTAGTGTGAGTTAATTGGTTATTATTGTACATTATTATGTATTCTAATTATTGATAGAAAATGTGGATTTTCAAGTAATGTAATGTTTATTATCATTATATTATTGACTTTCTTTATCGAGAATTATCATTATTTTTAAATTAAATTATCATGTTAAATATTATTTTAATTTATAGATCTTGACTTTAATAATATTATCATATATAAAAAAAATATGTTAATTTAATCAAGTTCGATTATAAATTTTGATATATAGTTAATAAAAGATTATATATTTTTTAAAATATATTTAATTATATAAATAATTTTAAAGTTTTTATTTATTAATTAATATCTTTAATTGAATTTTAAAAAATATTATATTTATATATATTAAAATATTTAATTATGATAAATAATTTAAATTTAATTTATTAATATTTAAGATTTAAATTATAATACTATATATATATATATATATATATATATATAATAATGTTAGTTATTTTAAATTATTTTTAAAATAAGTATCAAGGATTTTTATTTTTTTAATTCAAAAATTATATATTCAAGTTATTATTAAACAGATAATAAAACAAATTAATAAGATTTTTTTTATTAATTTTAAATAATATATTTGTCTTCGTAGTTAATTTGAATAAATTACTATGAAAAAGACCTAGCATAGAGATGTAGGGAAATAGGCAAAACATATAGCAAAACTGTCTTAGTAAAATATAATATAATTTGACCCAATTTTTATAAATAGAAAGGGGAGAGAATAAAATATATGTATATGTAAAAGAAGTAATATATATAATAAATTGGGATTGAAAATAATATTATGAAACAGTATTAACAATATTACCCAAAAATCATGATCGGTTTTGGTATGTCCATGAAGTATTAAGTAGGTGTAACCCTAATCTACATTACTAGAAGAGAAGGTAAGTGGGACCCAAAATTTATGCAGAAAGCAAACAAATTAACAGAAGAATTGGACAAAAAGAGATGTCCCAAAAGCGGTTTTGGATATTGTGGGCGCGTTGTGCTGTTTCTGGATTGTGATAATTTCTACCATACTTTCATCACTAACACAAATTTATCTGCATTAGAGTTCAAGGAAGAGAGTGAAATAAAATATTGGTGGGTTCATAGAAAAGAATGAAGGATTATTTGATGACTGGAATATCATTTAAGTCATAATTGTAGAAAAATAGCAAAACTAAAAGTGAATATGGAATTAATATCTCTTGGTTTTGAATTGGTTTTTGTGGTTACTAAAATAACTTTACTGAGTTGTAGCAGCTATAACTTGTCCCAATCAATATATTAAATGCTCACCAATCTGATCTGATGGCTGATTTGCAGCATTCGTCGTTAAAAGTTTAAAACTGACTATAAGGACAAGAAACACACCGATTACCACTCTTTTGCATCAATTCAACCGAGAACTCTCAGATGGTCACGTGCTCATTCTCACTCACAACTACCCTCTCTCTCTCTCTCTCTCCTAATTCCAATTATCCAATAATAACTTAAAAATCAGGGTGGGCCAGTGTTAGAACTTACAATGTTTTCTTTTAAGATTAAGTTTTCTACTAACTTCAACGGTTAGAAATGTTTATAATCCATTGACGTTAAAGATTCTAAGAAAACCTCACGGTATAAGAGACCAACTCCAAATAAATAGCTACTTGACACCAGAAAGAGTCCAAAGACTCATCTCGTGACTCGTTAGAAACTTACATTACATTCCTTCAATTTTTATTTTAACCTAAAGATTGAAAGGAGTTTGTACTCATGGGAAATCATCAAGGTGTATGACCCCCCCCTCACCCCAAAGGTGAAATCTTCTTTCAGAACAGCACGTGAAACCCATACGAACTCATAATTAGCTTATCTATTACTTTATTTAACCAATTCTTCTTCTTTTTTTCTATATTTTCATTCATTATTGTGGCTACTTTATTTCTTCCCCCAACAACAAGCATGGCCTATCCCATCATGTCATTCGGAGGACCCAATCAACCATGTCCTCTCATAAAATCAGGGTCAAAAGGGGAATGATGAACTCCATCAGAAACTTTAGAAATAGAAAGGCTTTGAGCGAACACTGCATGCAGTTCATGACTACCTTGAACTCGTAGAAAAAATGAGCATTAAATGCACTTGATCGTCGATCATTAACAACAACAAATCTTTTCTCTAACATGCACAAGCAGCCAATCATGGTGGACCTAATCGCAATTCTTGTGCGTGGTATCTGAATTGACACATGAGCGACTCTTGCTTTACATAACAACCTACGTAGTTCAGTTCACAGTAGCATGGACCCAAAAGAGAGGGATGTAGTTGTGTTGTGGAATGGAAATTGTAACTTGTTAAATGTCACATAATCGGGCAAGAAATATGGATATGATAAAGCAAAGTGATAATGGTGATTGGCGTTATGTTTTGTTTTGTAAATAATGATTAGCGTGTGATTGAAGTGAGTTATCGATTTGGTCACATGCATTCACTGAGTGGTTGGCATTGAACTGCACGAACGAACGTTTGGCCCATACCAGCAGGGTTCTTACTGTTACAGCGACAGGTGAATAATTCGAAAAAGCTCGTGATGATGATTCTAGCACATTGACATGTTCCCTAGCTAGTAATGCTGAATCACCCATAGCATAGGTCCTCTCGTTGAAGTGAACTGTATTGCCATTGCACAAAATCTTCACCCATCATCATGCTTGCATATTCTTATGTATCATATCTTGTAAATATATATATATATAGAGATATATTATATTATAGTAGAACTTGCACATTTCATGTCTGCCTTGGGAGTTGGGTAAAAATTGCATATGGTTGGGGAAATTATGTGAAATTGTCTGAACCTTAAAAACTATGTAGGGTCTGTTGGAGGGGAAGAGGATGGTTTTCGTACCACAGTTGCCAGCTCAAATGACCTTAGAGTCTTGCACCAAAATAATACAAAATGCTTCGCTGCAATCATAAAAGAATCAATTATTCCAACGCCAATTTATTAATGTTGATTAAATTTCATATTCAATATCTATTAGGCACTTCGATAATAAAATTAAAATTTGTAAATCACAAAGTGTATTTTTACAAAATATATAAATTTTATTTTAAGAAATTAAAACAGTGGATTAGTATTCTCTACTAAGGAAAAAGTATCTTAATTATAACATTTACTCTAATTATTTTTTGGTAAATTTGAAATAAGACGTGACAAAATAAAACGAACTTGTTCATTTTATCACCCTAATATTTATTTACCTTATGAAAATATACTTACTAAATTTCTACTGCATCCGTCTATCACGTGATCCAGTTTCTATATATTGAAATTTTATTTTTTATTAAATTTTTTATTTCTTTCTGTCCATTTAAAACTACTCCATTAAAAAGAGTTTTATACTGCAAATCTAGTTTAAAATCTGTTTATCAGTCAAAACCAGTTTTAACTAATTTTGTACTTCAATAAGTTTTTTTTGAAAAAAAAATCAAATAAAAAATAAACTAATTAGGATTCGAAAATCAATTTAAAGTTATTTCTTCATGCGAGACCCTACCCAAAGCTAAAGCTTATAAACAGAATAAATTTCAAATATTAAATATAGTTTTATTAAAGAATTTGACCCCATAGTTAATGTAAAATAAGAACAAGCAGAGGAAAAAAATACTAAGGAAGATGGTTGAATGATTAAAAAAAATTATTAAAAGTATTATGAATTTAATATTTGTCTTCCTAGGTGAAGACAGAGTTTAGAGCAGCAATAGCAATTAGAAGAATCGTGAGAGAATGCATGATGCTAATTGCGTTCATTTTCGTCGTAATGGGGAATTAAATAATTGTTTATAAGTGATAGAAGACAGAGACAGGGAAAAAGAGATTCTGTTTCAATCTCAAGGTGCTATTACACTGCACTTTTCACTGTAATACATTTCGTAATCATAGTATCATTCATGGTAACAGGGTCCCCTATTTATCAAACTTTTTTTTTAGCTTATTACTTATTTTTATGCTATTAATATCTATTATTTAATGATAACTTTACCGACTCCCTGTTAGAATATTAAAAAAAATGGTTCACATTTCTTGATACGAAAAATTAGAGAGGGAATTACTCGTTAAAATATACTCCCTAAAGATTAAATTAGATAAATAATACTTTTTATTATTTTTAATAAATTTATTATTGTTTTTTATTAATACTTTCTTTTTCTAAAATTCTTATTCATAATTTTTATCTTCTCTTTACAATAAAATTATAATTAAAAAAAGATTATAATGAATAAAAGGTAATTAATATATTTTTTAACCTCAAAAGTTACAAGTGATATTTGAAACAAATTTTTGTCAACAAAACGATAAAATAGATGAGTATATTTTAAGCCTATGTAAGTACTTTTCCCTTATTTTTTATTTAATTTAGAGGAATAAGAAAGAGGCTACATGATTCGAAGAGAAAATTTATATTAGTGACAAGAAAGTTAAAGATGAGGACTTGAATTCAATGTAAATTCTTCAAGTGAAAACGAGGAGAAAAGCATGAAAAAAAAAACATAATATATATAATAAATTACATTATGTATTATTATCATAATTTACGTTAAAATATTATTAAAAAAATTAACTACTATTAAAATTTGTTTATGATAATTAAATAATTAATACTTAAAATAATATATATATATATATATATATATATATATATATTAAATGTAATGGTTTGAGGTTGAATTTTATAAAAAATATGTATAAAGGGTATAGGTGTATGTTTATTTAGACATAAAAGTAGTGAATCAAGATATTATAACTTTATTAATTATTAAAATTATATAAATAAAGGAAACAGGTGGTGAAAATTAAATAATTTTTTTTACCTTATTTAGAATGTATATTCACTAATAACATATCAGTAATATCAATTTATCTGAGATTATACATCATTCTAAGTACTGTTATGTTAAATAATTAAGAAAATTGTATTGTTGGAAGTATATATCTTCGATTTTAAATTTAACATATTTAGTTTTCTAAAAGGTGTCACATATTTAATGAGTCTGCGTGGGTTATATATATATATATATATATATATATATATATATATATATATATATATATATATATATATATATATATATATATATATATATATATATATAAAGAGAGAGAGAGAGAGAGAGAGAGAGAGAGAGAGAGAGAGAGATTATATGTGATGATGTATTTTATGAAAAAATTTATTTATAGAATTTATTTTGTGTTATTATTTATATTATTGTTATTATAATAAAGATATCTATTTTCACAATTTAATTTTCTAATTATAAGATTTATTTTTAATTATTAAAGGACTACTTGTAAACTTGTAAATATTAACTGAAATAGAAAATGTTTATATTTAGTTAAAATTTTATAATTATTTTTAGCTTTAAAAAATAATAATTAAGTATTAAAAAACCAAAAAACTTTTACATATAAACAATTGTTAAAAAAATTATTAAATATTAACCAATTTTAAAAAATATTTAGTTATTATATTCACAAAATTAAAATTTATTTTAGATATGTTAATTTTAGTTAAATTCATTTTTGAATTAGAATTTAAATAAATTTCTAACTTAATTATTAACAAATTATATTTTAAATTATTAAAGTAAAATTTAATTTTCAATTGATAATCAAGAGTAATACTTATTTAATTTCTAATTCAGAAACCAAATTATTTAAAATAAATTTAACTTAGTCAGTAGAATGATTATTTTTTCTAAATTAATTAATGTAATACATTTTTTATTTAAATAGAATATAAGAGTACATAATATTTCTTCAACGTCCCACTTTTCTAAACATCAAATCAAATGTGTATTTAGTTTCTTGTAAGATCACGGAGAATTACCTTAAAATATTAATTAACATAAGTTTTTATAAATTTTATATATTTAGTTTCATACTAAAAATTTGTTTAGATGAAACAATTTAAATTACTTTTTATATTTTCATACAGACTTGTACTACTAACTTAATTTTATAATAAAAATATTCAAACAGAAATCACATTTCTTCAAAATTAATTTTATTAAAATTTATTCAAATATTAATAAAAATATGTTTAGTTACCAAAATCGTGTATTTAGAAAGAAAATAAAAAGTGATATAAATAGTTAATTGACTTTGTCTTACGTATTATCATACAAAACCTCACATAAAGATTTCATTATTACAATTTTGTTTTCTCATTATATCACATCATCTGTCTTTTTTTTTTTTTTTTTATATCTCTCAGATTATTAACTACCATTTTAAATACCATATTCACACTCAAACTCTGGTTGATATAAAGAAATAAATGGTATGCAAATGTTAATATATCATATGATACAATAAAAGCAGAAATGAAAAAAAAAAAAAAATATATATATATATATATATATATATATATATATATATATATATATATATATATATATATATATATATATATGTATAAACGGTGAATGCTAATTAAGTTTGGTGTGACAAGTATTCACCCTTATACATCAAATAAGAATGCAGTACAAAATTTAATTTATGAGTGAATGATTTTATATATTAATTTTTGAGATTGTGTTATATTTAAATTTAAATTTTAAGACAATATAAATATATTTTGATTGATTATTATTGTGTATATTGCATCGAAGCTTACACGACTTAAAATTATGTAAAATAAGTGAATTTGAATTTTGATCTGTATAATATTTCTCTAAAATTTAATATTATCATTCTTATTTTTAATAATTTATGACATTAATTAATTACTTATATGCTAGAACGAAAAATTAACATTTATTTCAAATAATCAATGTTAATGTTGTAAATGATATAATATTGATATATGTCAGTTAAAAAATTCTTAAAATTGATAAAATATATGTTATTTATTTATTTTTAAATGAATATCAGAAACTAAAAATAGTGATGAAGAATTTTAAAGATTAAAAAATAAACAAAATTATTCTACATAGATTAAAATCTAATTTACACATTTTACAATAATAAATAAATAAATTTTATAAGATAAAAATATTTATTTTATAAGCATCAAAATAAAGTAAAAACATACTAAAATTTAAATATGATTTTTAATTTAGTAAAATAGATAGATTTTGATTTTAATCCTTATATTTTTAATTTTACTTTCTTCATATAAATTTTGAAAAGATTGGTTTTAGTCCTTCTAAAATAAACGAATATTGGTTTTAGTTTTTATAAAATAGTTTTCTTTTCTTTTTATATTTTTAAAAAATAAAATTGATATTTTTTATCCTTAATATTAATATGAATAAAAAGATAACATTTATTGTATATAGTCTAGGTTTTTAAAGGATCAAATGTATGATATTATATTACAGACACTAATGGACTACACTTAACATTCAACAAACATCACATGATGCTATATATCACAAGCAATTTAGAAGGACAAAAACAAACAAAATAATTTATTTGAGATCAAAATCAAAGACAGTTGAGTTTATTAAGAATTAAAAACATATTAAATTTGGAATAGTATTAAGTAAGCAACAGCTCTTTTTGAAGTTGGATTATGACTAAATTGAAACAAGAAGTCTTAGTTGTACTCAATTTCAATATATTTATTGAAAATTTCAGTTAAAAGGAAGTGTAATAACTGACACTAAAAATATGGCCATCTTGCCCATTATTTAAACTCTTAAAGTTGGGGAAAAACTTCTTGCTTGGTTAGGTCACACTGTCACACAGTTCACACTTTCTCTTCCCTCTGAAGAAGAGAAGGAAGAAAGGGGAGAGAGAGAAATGGAGCTTTCTCAGCTTGGTTTCCTAGATGAATTAGTAGCTCCGAGAAGAGAGACATGGAATGCTTCTTCCACTGGGTTCTGTGAGCTATTGTCTAATGGTTGGAGTTTTGACACTTTTCTTGAGAATCCATCTATGGCCACCTCAAACTCCCTATTTGGTGCATTTTCAGCACCAATAGACCGCAGATTTGAATGCCCTTACAGCAATGAAGTAGCAGCATACCCATTTGCTGATGGGTTCACAATGCCATTGCCAGAGCTTGACCCTGTGAATGATGATCCCCCACTTTCACTTCCACCGGATGAAAAGATAGGCTTTCATGAGAAGAACAACAACATTGAAGAAACCAAGAGTGTCTGCAAAGTTGAGGAACAAGGCACAGAGATTCCACTCTTTAACATAGGCGTGTGTGATGATGGAGACAGAAAACCCAAGTCCAAAAAGCTAGAAGGACAGCCCTCAAAGAATCTCATGGCAGAAAGAAGAAGAAGAAAGCGTCTCAATGACCGTCTTTCCATGCTAAGGTCAATCGTCCCCAAGATCAGCAAGGTGATTCCCAAAAGAAAGTCTTTTGCTTTGTTTTACCCTGACTTTTCCTTTACTTGGTAGTAATGTCTCAATCTGTAAAAATGAAATTGCTTTTTTCGTGTTTGGCTTACATAACCCGTACTTGGTCTTTTTGTTTATTTGTTTGTTTTTCTTGATTTGCTGTGTAATACACTAACTTGAGCAGTATCATATATCATCTTAAACAGATGGACAGAACCTCTATTCTTGGGGATACCATTGACTACATGAAAGAGCTGTTGGACAGGATTGGTAAGTTGCAAGAGGAAGAGGTGGAAGAGGGCACAGGTCAGATTAATCTGTTGGGAATTTCAAAGGAACAACTCAAGCCAAACGAAGCAACAGTAAGAAACTCCCCCAAGGTACTCTACCAAACCAAATTCCCTGCCTTAAAAGCATAATTACAGACCTACTTTCGAAATGAATGTATTTGCAGTTTGATGTTGAGAGGAGAGACCAGGACACTAGGATCAGCATTTGCTGTGCCACAAAGCCTGGATTGCTACTATCAACCGTCAATACCTTAGAAGCATTAGGCCTTGAGATTCAGCAATGTGTTATAAGCAGCTTCAATGACTTTTCAATGGAAGCATCTTGTTCTGAGGTATGTATCCTATTTTGGTGCTTTCAATCTTAATTACATGCTTGAAACATAAACTTACTCTTTTGATGGTCATAGGTACCTGAACAGAGAAATTGCATTAGCCCTGAAGAGATAAAGCAGTCACTATTCAGAACTGCAGGGTTTGGTGGCCAAAGTCTCTAGGAGAAAGATGGAAAATAGCTAAAACAATTTGCACATGGTGTAAAAGGAGCAACTTTCCTTCTTTAGTTTGTAATCCAAGGAATTAGGGAAGTAGAAGTTTTAGTGAGATTCAGAATAAGTTGGCTTTGATTGATGATTTTCTTCTTAAAGCCTCACCCTGTGTTTTAACATATATTTGGGGGCTATCCTTTAGTGCATGCTGCAATTTCACCTTTTAAAAGAAGTGTGTTCTCTTTTAAGAAGGGATTTATAATGAAGGAAAGTTATTGCAAAGCCCACAATTATGTGCAATCAAATTGATTTTCCATGGATTCCTAAGTATGCTGACGCTTTAAAATTTCTTTTTTTCTGGGACCTTGAAGCAATAAATGTCTGCTACATGTTTCCTGTTGCCCAGGCTGTGACCACCACTCACCAACCAACCGGATTTTCAAATTGTATGGGTTCTGGTCTCTGTCAGATCAGATGTTATGAGAGGTAAGGCTGTTAACTTTTGAAAGAATTGCAGACCAACCATCCATAAAGGAGTCTATCTTTGACCTTGTGTTTTTTTAAAGACTTGCACATGACTTAGTTTTCTAAATATTTAGATATCACTATATTTTTTATTATGGAGGATTAAAGTATTGATTAGAAATAATAAAATCTTCTTCATAAAAGAAAAAAAAAATCAATATAGTAACGTATTTTGTATATATGAAATATACTACAGTGTGAACCACTGATCAGTTTAGGATTAGAAGACTAACATGATAAAACGATTTTAGTTGAGGTTTGAACCACTAATCGCTTTTATGATTTCTCTGTAATGGAAAGGTGACGTTTTCCTTTCCATCCAAGGATCATAGTTGCATGTAGCAGCTTCCTCCTTTTGCAGCTTAACAATTAAAATTGAATGACCTTTTTATGTCCACGAAAAGCCCAAAAAGGTAAAGTATAGAACTAAATAAGTGCTGCTAACACAAGAAATCTAGAGAAACACTGAACCTGATTTTAGCAAAAAGTACAATAAAGATAGATTAGGTTCTGCAAATTGAAAAAACTAGTTACTAAAGAATCTTGTGAGGTTTACTTGGTTGTCTGGTTCCATATGGTAAATGGAGGTAGCTAGTTGAAAAATATTGGGTGGGCATGGCGAGGGGGTAGCGTGATTTTTGTTGTGATTCTAAGATTAAGTCAACCATAAAGTGAAACCCATTACATTAAGAGTATCACTTGAATCTCACAAACCAACCAACAATCATACAATGGTTACTGTTTTAGTAAATATTCACTTCCCTTTGATTCCTGGTGAAGTGAAATTTAGGCTTGTTTCATATATTATCATCATCACTTATTTGTTTCTTTCCTTTTGGCTAGATTATAATCCATATATATAAACTCGTAATAAGTACTAATGAAATAAGAAAATAAATGGAAATAAATGAAGTACTTTTCCACAGCTTAAGCTAAGACTATGTTATATATTTTATTTGTTTATTTCTCATCAAATTTCAAAGTTTAGATGAAAAAGTTGTTTTCAATTTATGAAAGAAATCTAAATTATTTTACTTTTTATTATCTCTTTCTACTAGTGATTAATTATATCAATGGTATGCTTAAATAAATTTTTCCTTTTTTTTTTCCTACTTGTAATTATATCAAGGGTGTCTATACATAACTTTTCATAAATATTTTTTCACAAGTTAAAATTTTAAATTTGTGTATAAGTTAATTTTAGTTTATGTTTTTATTTTATTTGACTTTTACTTTTAAGTATTTGTGGAGAAATTTAACAAAATAAATCGAAGAAATTACTCCAAATAGAATCAAATAGATACTTACAAAATCTTTTTTTTTTAAAAAAAAAACATGATAAATCTTGTATGGAGGCCTCAATTAATGATGAAGAAACAGAAAGAAGTAAAGAAAGGTTCTGAACCTTGAAAATGTTGTCCTGTTATGATAATCTTTGACGAACTGTGGCTGAAGCTTCTACTTGTGCATGTGAATTACGAAGATAACATAAATAGGTGTTGTACCTGCAATGGTCTATATTTCAATTTTCATGTACCTGCAGGGGTAGTACACAAAATTATTGCTATAAAACCCATTCTGAATGCATTCAAACAGAAACCTATGAAGACATGGTCTGATGAAAAGGATGAATTATAGGTGGAGTTGTTTTGGAAGGAAAGCCATATGAGGTCTTAAAGTCACTCTAACGATAAAAGAAAAATGAAAAAAAAAAAAAGGTAACAGTCATATACGAAGAAGGGCTAGAATGGTAGGAAAATGGCAGTACACAAACCTTTTTGCTTGGCTATGCTTAGTTAGCTTATTTTTTCACCCACGTCATCTTCTTACGCCACCTTTTTCACTCTCTATTGTTAATCATGTCAATATTATGTGTTTCAATGATCCTAGAAAGTTTCATAATGCTGGGAATTTTTAACAATTATTAACAATCATGTCTCACTAATTAAATTCTAAAGCAGTGATCCGCGTACTTAAAAAACTGAATGAGCCCAAAAGGTTGGGTTTAGATGATCCAATTTGAATGGCCCTAACCCAAAAGGTTGGGTTAAATTAAGGTCTAATAAATGAATCACTCCATTGGCTCAACATATTCTGAATGTAATGAAAAATTTAGTGAAAACAGAGTTACTTACGTGGTTGAAAAAGTATTTGCTATATTAATATAAAATTAAATCAACATAAAAATAATTTTTAATTACAAAATTATTACCATATAATTAATTATAATAAAAGTTAAACTAATATAAACTATTTTTAATTGGAAAATTATCACCATAACTATAATTATAATAGATAGATTATAAGCGTGTAATATATATTCTCTATTCGTTAGTATCAAATAAATACATAAAAGCTACATATTGCATGAAAGCAAAAGAAGTATTGTTATAATTGTTATAAAGTTTTGGCTAAGCATAATATTTTTCTTTGTTGAGGAAAATAACTCTAAACAATATCTAAACTTTTATCAATACTGTTTTAATCAATTTAATTAACTTATAAGCAATGAGACAACACATTATTTTACATAAATTTTTTATATTTAAGTTTTATCTTTTTATATCTTTATGTTTTTTTACTATTCCAGTTAAATAGTTTTTTTTTCCTCTTTTTTGCTCTCTATTAATCCAAATTTGACGTTTTTGTAATCAAAGATATTAGCACACATAAATCCACTAAGTTTCTAAAACATTGTTTTAAGTACGAGGAAAATGAGTTAAATGAAAAAGTTTAATAAAGAGAACTAAAGAATAGATAATTAACAAAATAGAAAAAAAAAGTGAAAATAGTATTAATGAATCCTGTCACTTTTTAACATCATTTCTCTTTTTATTTTGATTCTTCTCTCTCAGCAAATAACTTCCAGTCTTGATTTTTTCTACAAACATTATTTTAATCTCCCAACATTATCCAAACAAACTAATAACTATATTACACTCAATGGTCAGACAGAATCGTGAGGGGTGGACAATGAATGCATTTGGAATGATTTGATTGGGTTAAAGAGCGAAAATAATATAATTTCTTTTGAGGATGCATTCGCATAATATTTTGACATTACCGAATTCGGAATCTACTAGGTATAAACTTTCTGGTCTAATATATTTTAAAGTGGATATGATGCATTTGAGGATATGGTAGATTATTAAACAAATTTGTGATTTGTTAGCATGGTTAATAACCAACTTTACCTCGCTCTTCATTTTTCTTAAAGTTAAGTAGTCGCGTCTACCTTTAAAATAAATAATAAAGAAATAAAAAATTATACCTTAATTTTCTATTCAATTGTTAAACTTTTTTATATCATCAAAGAAGTACATTTACTTTAGCCACACATAACTTTGACTAATATATAATTTAATTCCATAGTTGCAACTAATTAATAGTAAATTGAGGAATATATTCCGCTTATTCTGGATACTTAAATGCCACATGCTCTAAAATACCAGTTTTGTTTTGGACTTTTTTTGGCTTTATATTGCGTAAGAATTTTTTTTATTCACAATTTAATTTTATTGGGAATAAACGTCATTGGTAAAGCTGACAAAATTTGGAGGAGATTATTAAACTTTGATTATTATTTTTTTCATTTTAAAAACTTATAATAAATATGTTTATAAGAGGTTTATCATACAAAATGAATCAATTATATAAAAAATGTAATATCATATTGAGATAAAAACTTTATTGTATTAAGTGATGAGTTTTTATAAATTATTTAATTTTCTTATTTTTATTTAATGTGAAACTTTAATTCATACCAATTTTTGACACAAGAAAAACAATTTTTTACCTAATATAAAATTTCAACTTCCTTTTAAATTTTCAATACAAAGAAAATGATATTTCACGTACTATAGTACTATTATGTATTTTTAAGGAGATTAATAATAAAAAAATTTATAAATTAAATATGAGTCAATCATGTAAAAAAAATATGACATTATCTTTAACTTAAAACCTTAAAACATTAAGTTATGAACATTTCTCACTTATAAATTATCTAATTTTCTTATTTTTAATCCAATATTAGAATTTAATTAATACTTAAATTATTAAAAAGACGAGATTGTTGTGAATATTAAAATAAAAAGAATATTACGTATAGTCTTAAAATAAAAATAAAAAACTTTATCTCATCCTTATCTTCAGTCATATTTTTTAAGTATAATTAGTTCGTATATTTGTTGGCTAATATCTCTTACTTTTAGAATCAGAGTGTTTAGATGAAAGAAATTTATTTAAATACAAAATTTAAAATATTTTATGACAAAAATATGATATTTGAATAACAAGTTAAAATAAATATTAACTTTAGAAATTTATAAAAAAAGAAAGAATTTTAAATTCTACTTAAAAATTATAAACTTAAAATTTATTATATTTTTTTCCTCTCTTAATTTTATATTTTTATTTTTCATCCACTCTTCGTTGACTCTATTTTAATTGACAATTTTTTATTAATATAGAAAAAAATTCTT